TTACTGTAGCGGCTACTTCATGACTATGATTTTGCTACTGTTATGAATCATAATATAAATATCTGATATGCAATATATCTGATATGAGACCCCTGTAAAAGGATCATTCGATCCCCAAAGAAGTCTCGACCCCCAGGTTGAGAACCACTGATCTAGAAGGTCATTTGCTGTCTTGAAAAAAATTACTATAATTTTTAATTCACAGACTATAATATTCATCCCTCTAAAATACATGCTAGTGACCTCAAGTACATTCATGCTAGAGCAGAGCATTTTCCCACCCCCAGAGAAGTCTCACACTTAAAATCCTTCCTATTCCCTTTACCTTGCCATGTTGGCAACCATCAGTCTCTTTTATTTGTTTGTTTCTGGATTTGTCTGCTTGGTTTCTTCATTTAATGCAATGAATTGGCAGTTTATTGGTGTTTCAGTATCATCAGCGTTTCACCTTCATGGCTTAGTAATGTTCCGTTGTATGATATATCACATCTCATTTAGGGCTTGGGGAAGATATGCAGACAGCTGTTGTCTTTGTGTGTCCTTTGCTTTTTTGGATGCCAGGTGATTTTGTGTGTGTGTGTGTGTGTGTGTGTGTGTGTGTGTGTGTGTAAAACTTGATTCTCAGGTAGAGCAAGTGGGCCTGGTACAACCCTTCAGAAGATTGGTTTTAGTTCAGGTGTGTGACCAAAACTTCTAATTTCTGGCTGGGGTGCTGGGGTCTTGGGATGCTGGGGTGCCTGCTTTTAGAAAACCTACCTGTGAACTGGCATGGCATAAAGGAACAGAGGTCTTAGCAGTTCTGTCCAGGACACCCCAGTTCTGTCACATCAGTTGATCTCTCCGTGGTACTCCCAGCTGGGGCACTGGTGGTCCTTGGGAAGTGCTGGTGTAGAGATCCCTGCAGAGTGTAGTGACATCTGTCAGTGGCTCCTACAGTTCTGGGCACAGTGATATACGGAAAGAACATACCCAGGAATTGATTCCCAGCTCGGTGCCAGGCAAGCGGTCTAAGAGTGAGTGTGCTCCACGGGAAGGCCTCGTTTGCCCGAGCTGCAGGATGGAATCCACGGAAAATCCAACCCAGGATCTCACCCCGTGAATGAACCACAGTAACACACAGGGAAGACCCGGACTAGCAGCGCTTTCTGTTACAGCACGCTTATGCTATGTGAGGTCATAGGATCCTGTAGGTGGGATGGGCTTTAGGGAGACACTGATAAAGTTGGGGCATAGTGTCCTTCCCAGCAGCCACTGGGAGACAGTAACCTTCCCAGCAGTCACTTCTTACCTGTGATCACCTTGTGGGATCAACCTGTTTACCTGGAAAAGCTCTTAGGTCTCAAATCTTAAACAAATGGCTAAGGTGCCCATTAACATGTCAGCGTGGACACTGTCCACCAATCTCTCAGCATCTAGTGCCTGGCATACCCTGCCCCCTACCCTGAACTCTCCAGTGCAAGGACTCGCTTGGGCTTTCCCTTCCTCCACCCTTTCTCTTTTGTATAACACAGCCATTTTGGCTACAGTGAATGAATCTCTTGGCTCCTGGCTCTCTCCTTCTCTTTCCACCTCTCCTCAGAAGGCCCAGTCCAGTCTGCCAGTCATGTTTAGCCTGAAACATTCCCGCTGCCTCTGCCTGTGCACATTCCTTGTATCTATAATAAAAATCTCAACCCCTTAGGAGCGATCGTGTCCTCCTTTTATTTCTTTCCTTTATTCAAACGAACGGCAGGTGATCTCCAGGAAAGCGCAGATTCTCAAGACCCTCTCTACCTCCCTGCTTCTAGACTCCTAACTAGATTTAAATCCCCCGCAGTGCCTTAAAGATGAGATCCACGTGACCTCTGAGGAGCGTGTGGAGCCCCAGGATAATGGCTGAGTTGTCTGGTTTATCCAGAGTTTAGGGAAACACGCGGGATAGCAGCGGGAGGAACGTAAAGGTGGACCAGGACACATTTGCCGGTACGAGCTTGCTGCTGCACTTTGCATAATACCGTCTTCAGTGAAATGTTTGAAAATTCGGGGTCTCGAAATGTCTGGCCTCTATGGAGAACCCAGATTTTACTTTAAGAAATATTAAATACGATTCTTTTCTAGCAGACACTATAAAACTTGTGTTTATGACGAGAAATTAAAGTCTTTTGATCTCCCGCCTTGTAAGACTTTTATCAAATATTTTAAGATTCACCCCCCAACACGCTAAAACCCTTTGTTCACACAAAGGCCCCATTGATGTCCAGAAGCAGTGACCCCTCCCCCAACTTCCTCCTTCATTTTTTTTTTTTTTTTTTGTGTGCTGATTCTTTTAAATCTAACCAGTCTCAAAAGACAGTGGGGAAAAGACAGTACATGTGTTGGAATGAAAACCCAGTAAGCTTCCTGTCTCTGAGCGCTTGCCCCTTGGAGCTGGCCTTCTTGATCAAAAGTAAAGCTTCACCTTGTTGAGACACTTTCATTGGAGCAATGGCTTTTTTTTCGTGTCCCCTGAACTTAATTCTAACAACCCCATATTTGATGTGCTGTTTCTGGGCTATCGGTTATGAGCCAACCAGTTCCTTCCATTTCCACTAAAGGTAGTATCAAACTTGGCAGGCCCCTCCTATGCTATTTCTGAACAAAAAGAGCTGGAAATATAGAGGGGAGGGCCAGCAGGCCCTCTTCCCCCTTTACCCCATGAGTCATGTGTTTTAAGGAAAATGGTGTGACTGCCTTTGGCCCGTTAATCTAGCCTTAGCCTTTCCTGCTAGGAAATGCGAACCACATGGGCTGCTAGTAAGGGTTGCACTAAAGTTCTCTGTGCCTCTGTGAAATGCTGTTGCAGCTTTCTTCAGGTTTATATCAGAATTTATTGTGCATCAGAAAACCCGAGAGTGCTCTGTGAAGGATATCACAGTGCAGAAACTGCATCAGAAAACCCGAGAGTGCTCTGTGAAGGATATCACAGTGCCGAAACTGCATACAGAAAACCTGAGAGTGCTCTGTGAAGGATATCACAGTGCAGAAACTGCATACAGAAAACCCGAGAGTGCTCTGTGAAGGATATCACAGTGCAGAAACTGCATACAGAAAACCCGAGAGTGCTCTGTGAAGGATATCACAGTGCAGAAACTGCATCAGAACACCGAGAGTGCTCTGTGAAGGATATCACAGTGCAGAAACTGCATACAGAAAACCCGAGAGTGCTCTGTGAAGGATATCACAGTGCAGAAACTGCATCAGAACACCGAGAGTGCTCTGTGAAGGATATCACAGTGCAGAAACTGCATACAGTTTTGCACAAATCACTTATTTTTTTCCTTGTATTTAATTTTTTTTCAAACAATATATTTTGATCTTACACGATGTCTGGTGACCAAAGTGGGAGGCTTTAGCCTCAAAACATATGCTACCAGTCCAGCAGGTGTGAGAACCAAAGTTACATTTTAAGTTTTAATTACTATACCATAGAGATCCATGAACCCAGTATTGGAAATACAGACTCTCAAGGCCTTACTCCACAAGTGTTGAAACATCCTGCTTTTTAAACAAGGTCTTTCGTCAGGTGGTGGTGGTGCATGCCTTTAATCCCGCCCTCGGGAGGCAACAGCAGGCGGATCTCTGTGACTTCGAGGCCAGCATGGTCTACAAGAGTTAGTTCCAGGACAGGCTCCAAAGCTACAGAAAAACCCTAATTTGAAAACCCAAAACAGGGCTGGAGAGATGGCTCAGAGGTTAAGAGCAATGCCTGCTCTTCCAAAGGTCCTGAGTTCATTTCTCAGCAACCACATGGTGGCTCACAACCATCTGTAATGGGGTCTGGTGCCCTCTTCTGGCCTTCAGGCATACACACAGACAGAATATTGTATACATAATAAATAAATAAATATTAAAAAAAAGAAAACCCAAAACAAACAAACAAACAAACAAAACAAGGGGATGTAGTTCAGCTGGGAGAGTGCTGACTTAGCATATCTGAATCCTTGGGCTTGATGCCAAGCACCACAGAAGACTGGACATGGGGGCCTATGTCTTTAATCCCAGCACTAAGGAGGTGGAGGTAGAAGGGTGCTAGCCTGGGCTACATGAGATTGTCAAAACAAGCAAAGAAGAACAAACAAATAAACAAGCTGCCCTATGGAATTAGGTCATAGATTACTGGGCAAGATGTGGGATGTCAGACCGATGCCTCCCTCAAAGGGGAAGATTGTGGAGCCAGAAGCAATTAAGAAGCAGTACAGGAGAACTTCTCTGCACTTTTGCAAGCCGGACTTGCAAAGAGCAAAGGTTTCCTGTCTCCATCTCTTCCAGGGAGAACACAGGCTAGCCATTGAAGAGAGCTCTAGACCCTCACTGGCATGGAGAGGATGCCAGAGGAACTACTTTTAGCAAACTTAACTAATTACTCTTCATATCGCACTCACGTCTTTCCAAGTTGACCATGAGACTTGATGTCTTTTGTAAAAACCGTGTCTCTTTTTAAAAATTACCATTCTTTTTGAAGATGTTACATAAAAACTGCTACTCAAATCTCTCTATTCTCTCCCCCCCCCCCAAGACAAGGTTTCTCTGAGTAGGCCTGACTGTCCTGAAGCTTGCTCTATAGGTCAGGCTGACCTTGAACTCAGAGTTCCACCTGCCTCTGCCTCCCCAGTGCCGGGATTAAAGGTGTGTACCACTGACGCCTGGCCAAGGCTCCTTCTTTATGAACTGCCATGCTCAGGGTGTCAGAATACAGAGAATGCATATCTCAAGTATACACATCAGTGGACTTCTGCGTGCTGTTGCACACAGACACTCTAAACCTCGATAGTGTGTCCATAGCTCTGTACCCCATGCGGCTCATTGGTCCGACAGCTGTTAAGTGCAGAAATGCTATACACACTTGATTTGGGTCATTCCTGTTTTGTTTAGGAAACTGAAACAGAACCCCGGAGTCAGTCCTGTAGTCATTGGGTCCTCATTCCTCATGGGATGAGAATCTGGAACTCAGGCCTGTTTGTGATCACATTTTTTCCCCCCAGTTTCCAGAAGGTTCTTAAGAAGAGTTGCCTGAAAAATTGGGAGAAGGAAGCACGCCAAGCAGGAAGGCCTAGCAGAGGAACACTGTCCTGTAGATGCTGAAGCTGACGAGGCTGCCCAGGTAACTCTGTGGGTGAGTTCCCTCCTCAGCAGCAGTTGGGGATTCCTGAGAGCTAGGCTGCTTCCTCCCTCTCTGCACAAGACAGGCATTTTCAAGGTCAGGGGTGAGGCCATCGCTGGAGTGGTGCTGACCCAGCTTCGAGGTAATTGTCCTGAAAGGGTGGTTAGCACAAGCATTGGGGGAAGGAAGACGGCTGGCTTCTGCTATTGGCTATTGTCACAGCCTCTTTGGCAGGCCTGGTTTCTTGCTCATAAATATATGCAGACTTTCTGAAAGGGCTGGAGTACTCTCAAGGCAAGGAGAAAACATGGTTCGGTTGGTTGTTAGCTCTTCAGTTGCTCCCGATTTTAAGAATCAGGGAGGGCAGATGGGAGACGAAACAGCTGTTGCCGGGGGCTCCGCGGGAAGAGTCTATTAGTTTCCACAACTGTTGCGGAAAAGGTAACTTCATAGCAACAACCACAACAACAAAGGTGTCAGAATGTGAATATGTGGAGATGCTGCTCCAGGTGCGGGGAGGGAGATCGGCTTGCGTGGCCTCCGACCTTAACTTCCAGTGTATATATACCCTGAGGAATCCAGGTCCTCTTCTGAGGAGGTCATTAGGGAAGTGATACTGGGCCAAACTGAAGTCCTGTGTGCATGACAACGGTCAGCTGTTCAGGAAGTCTCACAAACTTCTGCTCTTGTAAGGTAGTAAAAACACAAAAGAGAGAAGACAAAACAATGGGCTGGTTCCTACATACCTGCTTAACAACCTGGACTTAACACCCCCACCAGCTGTAATTGAGTGTGTTAAGTCATAAATCTCAAAGGAGGTGAAAGTTCCGTGGCAGATAATGAGTTGTCTCCATTTTCTCCTCATTCATGACTTCGGTGGGGGGGCCTGGTAGAGCAGTTGTGCTGTCTTTGACAAGCAGCTGCAGATAGGTGTGTGGGGGGAGCGTATTTCAGGCAGTCTTTGCAGTGGTCTGTCCTGGTTTTGATGGGGGCACTTTGGAAGCTCTCATGGGAAAGTGGTTACTTGGTACTCGCACTGGGCAGCATGAGATCTTTGCGTCTTCAAAGACAGAGACTTGTTAAAAAAAAAAAAAAAAAACAAATGAAGGAAATTCCCCAAAGAATCTTCCCAGGGAGCAACAAAAACATCCGCTGTAAACAGCAGGTTCATCTTCTGACAGGTTTTGTTTGCAAATGATAACAATTACAGGTAATTTTTCATTTCAATTGGAGGAGCAGGTATTAAGGAGGGGGGAGGGGCAGAGAAAAGATGAGCGCACAAGCTCTCCCAAGTGCCTCATTCACTCCCAGGTCTACAACCTGAGCTGCGTGGAGGACCAGGTAGTGGCTCCCCGTTCCATTAAGAGATCTAATTGTGGCTGTTCCGTCTGTTGGCAGATGCAGTTTCCACATAACAACGGCCCAGAGACAGAGCTGCGTGATTAATGCCTCCAGCTGTCATATGCCCCATTATCTGTGCATTTGCATAACTTAATGGTTTAGGACAGGGGAGAGAGGATGCTTAATTTAATGTTTAGCAGGCCCTTGATAGCTGAATAATTTAAGAACTGTCAAGGGGGGTCAGTCCTACACCAATTCAGCAAGACAGCTATGATTTCTGCATATCGTTAAAATTCTTACTGGGGAGATTTTTTTTTTTTTTTTTTTTTTTTTTTTTTTTTTTTTTTTTAGGGAAAAAGAACAACAATGCCTGAAAGGAAGCATTGATTTTTCTGTTAACCATTTCCTAGCTGTGGCAAGTGGAAGTTTGTTTTTTGACAGCGGCTGCTTGTCTGAAGACTACTGGGAAAGCAGGGTTCTCTCCTCTTCCCCCTCCTCTCTAGACACCCCCTCCACCAACCCTAAGCCCAGCTCCTACCCTCTCTTTCTGATCTTGCCTCCTTTTGTTCCCCTCAACCACCTCACCCTTTATGCCCTATTTTATGACCCACTTACAATCCTCTCTCGCTCTTTACCTCCAGCCTCTCTTTTAGCTGAAAGGCAGATGGGGGATGAGGGAGGAGGGAGGTGTTGAGGGAGGAGGGAGGTGGAGAGGGAGCATGGACAGGGAGGAGCATAATTTGCTTAAAATCAACTAACAGCCCAGCCTGCTTTCAATAGGAAACACTGTCAGTTTCATTAGTTGCTAATGAATATTATTAAACTAATCTGTCATTTGTTTTCTAATTATGTGTCACCAGGCATCACGGTGGCAGCTGAGGTGACTCACTAGTGAATAATGTGTAGCGCTCCCCCTATTCTTTTTTTTTCTTTTTCCAGAGTAAAAACAGCAAGTGATTAGCAATCATTTCACCCGACATAGTAGGTCACCCCAGCCCTCGGTCGTCATTTTTCTCCCACACGTTCTTAGCCCTGCGAGGCTTTTCATTCCTCAGTCTTGGCAGCCCATTCCCAGGTGATAGATCTGGGCCACCTCAAACCTCAGAAAACCTTGCTTCTCAATTCTCGGCTGGTGTGAGACCTGGATTTTGGGCAACTCGGTTGCCCAGTATGTTATAGACTAGGCTCTGATGCTTGGCTGGTCATGAAGGTTCGAAGTGGTTCTGCTCAAATGCCTGGTACTTTGATGGCCCAGCTGGACTTCCAGGTCCCTCTCTGTGTGCAGCCTCACTAGTAGGATGTGGGAGCTTACTTGGGGGCTTCAAGAATTCTGAAGGATGGAAGTAGAAATTGTCTGTGGCCGTGGATACATGCGGGAGATCTCATTTTCATCACATCTGAGACAGTGCTGAGACAAAGACTGACGAGGTGATGGGGGTGGAGGGTGCCTCTCTGTGACAGGTGGAGGGATGTAGGTGGGAGTGTGAGTCTGAAGAGATGGCTGGACAGTTAAGAGACCAGTGCTGCTCTCGCAGAGAACTGGACTTCATGAATGCCTTCCTTCAACTGCATCCTTCATTTCCATTCTTCTCAAGAATGGATTACTCCATCTCTGGACCCATTCTCCCAATCTCTAAACCTGCTTGGTCTCAATGCAAACATAATAGTGCTGCATTTTTTTCCCTTCCTGAGATAGGGTCTCACTATGCAACCCTCGCTGGCCTGGAACTCACTATGGAGATCAGGTTGGCTCCAATCTCACAGAGATCCATTTGCCTCTGCCTCCCGAGTCCTGGAATTAAATGTGTGGACCACTACACCCAACTTTGGGACAGATTTTTAAAAACACTGTCTACACTTAAGGAGTCTGTGGTCTCCCTGTCTGTCTGCTCCCTTGCCATTGTAGCTGGATTCTTGGACCCACTGATATTACCCAGGAGGGGCAGCCAAGTTCCCAAAAGGCCTTTCAAAAAGGTCTCGACCTGTGAATTTAGGGGGAACGCAAGCATTTAGATCATGGCAGCTTATTTCTACTGGCTCTTTCCAGAATCATTTAAAAACTTTTCTTCTTTCTTGACCTTCTCTCCCCTCAAGATGAAGTGTCCTCTGAAGTCTGCCCTGAGGTCTTTCCTATTCTTCTTCCACAATGGCTGTGTTTTCTTGTGGAAACCCAGACATCCAGCACAAACAGTTCTTGAGTAACAAGTATCCATGTGCATGCAGAATGCACACTTATACCACATGCACTTACGGTTGCTCACAGGACATCGTGACATCCTTGACTCATGTACAATTCACCTTTGCATGTTTGAGAAGGACCCAGTTTTCACCTTCTTTATCCATCCCTAGTTTCAAGCCTTTATCCTGCAGGTTCCTTCATCCCTCTTCATCATCCGTCATCACACAAACGTCCTGTTGGGTTCCACTCCTTCAGAATGTCTTTTTTTTTTTTTTTTTGCCTTTACGTTGCTTGTTATCTGGTCAGAACATGGCAACCATGCAGGAAAGCTGTTTTCCCTTCTAACCTCCTCTGCTTTTATCCCATTATCCGTCCAGTCGCCAGAGAAGTGCGGCCAAAATGCAAGCAGAGCTAAGCCGCTGTCCTACTCAACATCCCACAGCGGCCTTCCACTTCTGAGTATGTCAAACCTTCAGTTCGGCACGCGAACTACTTTCTGCTGCCTGGATTCACACCCCTCCACTCTCTGTGCCACATTTCCTGCTGCTTTGCACCTTTAGGTCTTTGCACATGATTTATCTACTGAGATTAATCTCTCTCTCTGCTTCCATTAGGCAGCTCTTTTATTCATGTCAACTCAGCTCAAGTTACAGATAGCTTCCTGGGAGATATTTGGCAATGTCTGGAGGATGTTTTGTTTATTTTAGGTTGGGGAGCTCCTGCTTAAGGATGCTGCCAAGCATGGCACATCCTACAGAGCACAGTGACAGTCCTCTTCTACGTGAGGCTGGAGGACCCAAATGCTGAGCTTCGGACACTCTGCTTTCTATTAGTTTCCATGCTATTGTATATTTTTTTGGGGGGGGGGGTTCTTCTTTTTATTTTCTTCTGCATGTTTTTGATGACTGTATTGATTTGCTTATATTGTTTGAACCAGAGGGCAGGCTTTTCTGTCCTGACTGTACAGCATCTTAAGAATCAGTTACTTGAAAACTACAGTTGATATGACTCCTTAATTACTCTTGTCTGTACTATATTGGATGTTCATGAAACTATTATCAGTCATTTACAATTTAGAGTGAATGAGGTTGGGTGAGTTTTTGTCCTTGATATTAGAAAGAGATGGGGTGCAAAAAAGGTACTCATGTTGTCCCTCATCATTTCTGGGATGTTTTAATTCTGCCCCACCCCTTTAACTACAAACATTTTTGAGAACACATCTATTGTTTATTTTGGTTTCCTAAGATTTATAACAGTAGAAATTTGAGGGGAAGAGTGTTTTACTTGGCTCTTGGCTTCAACGATGCCCTTCTGTATATTCCTGGGAAGGGGGTGTGTAGAAGTCTATAAACAACATTCTGAAGTCCTCTTGCCAGATAGCTTCTACATACGTTCTGCAAATGGGCGGAACTGGCAGGACATTAGGGAATGGGAAGATAGAGGAGAACACTCCTATGCCCCTGGAAATGCAGAGGCAGTA